ATATTGGTTGTATGGAGATTCATATGCAAGCTATTGTTAATATAGGGGGTTCTATTTCTGAAAAAACGCAAAAAATTCTAACTGAAGTGTAAGTAATCCTTAACCTGTTGTTAAAATTAGAGTTTATGTGATGTAAACTTTGTAGTTTCAGGTTTCATACTATAGACCCATCTTAAATGTTAACTTTAATAGTTACATATTACCTACTCCTGTCGTCTGTTAACTATCACATCTATCTGTTAACTTTCACCTAAACTTATTAACTCTTCATATCGTCTGTTAACTATCATAATTATCTGTTAACTCTCACATGAACATGTTAACTATTCATGTCGTTTGTTGATTGTCGTTGTTACCTGTTAACTTTCACATGAATCTGTTAATTTTCACGATCACAAGTTAATTTTATAGTTTATTTTGAAATCTGACTGGTTTATTAATTAGTGTAATAGTGATACTTCTTTGAATTCAGAATATAATCATATTATTGTTCCAGAAAGTACTTCTAAATCAGAGAGGATCTCAAATGACTATATGTCTGGTGAGAATGTAATGAGATCAGATGACATATATCAACAACACTTCCATCATTCCTCAATGGTGGCACACAACATTAACTAAAAAGTGTCAACAATTTGAAAGTATAAATGAATTGAGATTAGCTTTGCAATACTATTCTATGACGAATAAGTTTGATTATGTATTTGTAAAGAATGAACCCAAACTGATTAGTGTAGATTTCTACGTAGAACTATATTTTTGGTAGAGCAATGTAGGTTGTCAAGACTTTTATAGCTCATTGTGGAAAAATTTTGTAAGCTTTAAGAATGTAAGACCAATCAAATTGTGTAATCAAGCTATATTAGATGTAAGAATATAGGACTAATCAATATAAAATACATGATTACTATATGTTGGCTATTTATTTTTCTGTTAACTATCTCAGTTAGCCGTTAACTTTCACTTGAACCAGTTAACTTTTAGCTTTTCATGTTAACTTTTACTGAAAGTTGTTAACTCTGGGTATTACATGTTAAGTATTATGGTATCAACAATAAATGTATCAAATTGATAGCAACAAAAATCTAATTGGTGATTAGTATGGATTGCTATGTATAACTATACTTTTGATAGAGCAATATAGGCTCTCAAGACTTTTGTAGCTTATCGTAAAAGAATTTTGTAAGCTTTAAGAATATAAGACCAATCAAATTGTGTATTCAAGCTATATCAATTTTAAGAATGTTATTGAAAGTACATGTTTACTATATGTTGGCTATTTCTGTTTCCTCTTGACTATCTCAGTTAGATGATAACTTTCACTTGAATATGTTAACTTTTAGTGTTTCCTGTTAACTTTCACTGAAAATTGTTAATTCTGGATATTACATGTTAAGTATATATATGGTATCAACAATAAACGTATCAAATTGATAGCAAAAAGAATCTAATTAGTGATTAGTCTGGATTGCTATGTAGAACTATACTTTTGGTAGAGTAATATAAGTTGTCAAGACTTTTGTAGCTCATTATGAAAGAATTTTATATGCTTTAAGAATGTAAGACCAATCAAATTGTGTATTCAAGCTATATCAACTATAAGAATGTAAGACTAATCAATATAAAGTACATGTTTACTATATGTTGGCTATTTATGTTTCATGTTAACTATCTCAATTAGCTGTTAACTTTCACTTGAACTTGTTAACTTTTGGCTTTTTTTGTTAACTTTAACTGAAGTTAACAAATAAGATTCACAATTAATTTTTCATAGTTCATGATCAAATCATACGATCAAAAAGTTTGTGTACTTTTGATGCTTATATACACACACATACATGATAATATCTCTATAACATTTTCTTTGCACACAATCTGTTATTATCACATTTCAACAAACCACATCTCTTTTTGGCATTTTATCAAACACTCTATAGACATTCATATATTTTAGCCCAAGTAATATCATTTTAACCTACAAGCCAACTCATCCACCTCACAAGCAGTTCGACAAGCATCATATATGTCCCAAAATCCTCATTATCTTCCTCCTCCTTCATTACCCACTAGATATGAGCACTAACCCTAACATTCATCTCCTACCATCTTCTACGCCTCTTGCAGACCATACTCCATCACTAAATCCATCCATACCCCCTCCTGTCTCCCTTTACCTCTCATTACCATTGGACCTCACTAGCTAGATGAGCTCGACCTTTCCTTCCTTCTCTCATACTCCTTGTCCATGGTCCTCTCCATCCATCTTGTCGGTCGCCTCTCCTCTTTCTTTAAGCCTTATCAACACTTGCCTAAGATGATGGGGCTGGAGGGTACGCTCGGCAGTCGTGGAGGAGGAGGCGGGTGAGGCAGACATCAAGGTCGGAGGGTAAGAAGAGTAAGAGGAAGAGAGAGGAGGAAGGTAGGGATATGGGAGAGGAGGAGAAAAGCAGAGGAGAAGAGGAGGAAGGATCAGTTATCGTCTCCACAAGAAAAAGAGAAAGGCAGAGAGAAGAAGAACAGGAGGGGTAGTTTTGAAAAAATTTGGGTTACTTTTTGGAACAATGTAAAAAAGGACTGAATCACAAAAACCCTTGGTAATTTGGGCTTGTACATAACGGAATTAATGCAGGGGTGGGGCACATGAAGTTCGTTATTTTTGGGCATTGACATAATTTTTCCCAGTTTTATTGTACAATTTATTAATTTAAACAAAATTATAATTGTTCAAAATTTATATTGCTAAGTTATTTTATTATTTTGCAGCCAACAAAAAAAAAGTTTGAAAAACATAAAACAAAATATGTATGCTCTCGTGCAACCCACGTGTGCCATACTAGTATGTATAAAAAAACTATAAACAGTGATACTTAACCACGACTCGACGCACGTGCAACCAAACTATATTGTTAAAATTCAGTGAAGTTACTTAGCAAACATGCAAGTTTTAGGAGTAAATATACAAATAGAGTACATTTAGGGGTATTTAGGCATAACCTTTTTTTGTTTATTGTTTTTTTGTTTAATGAATAGAGGTATTTTGTCATTTTATCGCTCCTCAATTTAGATGTCAAGCAAAGAGGTAAGTGTTTGGGGAAATTATCAACTATCCACATTGGAAGGGTAAAGGGCAAGTCTGCAAATAACATACATTCGGAGGCCTACAGGTAAAACGTTTCCTCTTTCTTTTTATATTAAGCAAAATGTTACAAATATTCCCGACATAGCGTGATATATCAGCCGATATATTCTTTTACAAGGTTTACCACAAAATAATATTGCCTAAATATTTTTACCGCATTTTGGCAATATTTTGACAAATATTTCCTCGACATGGCGGATACGTTGGCTAATGTGTCCTTTTACATGGCTAATCACAATGCAATAGACTGTTTTTGACAATTTTTAGGGGAGACGTTTCTACCTCAAAAAGATCGATTGAAATCTTGTAATGTCAATTTGAACTTTTATTTGTTTCAAAAGGTTGATTAGTGATCCCAAACAAATATTATTTATATTTTTATATTCTTAGATTTTGTTAAGTATGTGCAGATTACATTTTAGGATATTGTATTATACATTCACTTCGTGTGATATAGCACTCCGATATTTACCACATATCTCCGATATTTTTCTGATATCCGTAACCCAATATGAATTTTCATAATCTGATATTTACTCGATATCCGATATTTAAAACCTTCATTAATATGGGTTAGAAACGGAATTAGAGCATATATCACATTTGGTGGCAGAGTACATAATAATTCATCTTTGGAACTAAGGGGGTGTTTGGTTCAATTTCTAGAAATTATAAGAAATGTTTTCTACTTAGGGGGTGTTTGGTTCAATTTCTAGAAATTATAGGAAATGTTTTCCACTTAAAATATGATTTTCTTGTATTTCTTAAAAAAATTATAGGAAAAATTTTGAGAAATCAAAAAGTACCAATTTTCTTGTTTTTTGTACTTTGCTTGTTTGGTTCAAAACAAGAAAATGACTCATAACTTTATAGAAAATAACAAGATTTAGTAGGTTTTTAATTAAATATGGTATGTGTCAGATTTCTGGTGATTTCCTCTCATTTTGAGAGGAAATTGCTTTTTGTAAAATTTGGTAGGTTTTGATATTTTATAGAAAATATTTCTGTAAATTTTTTGTTGAACGAAACACAATTTACAGATATCTCTGGAAAACTTTTAATTACAAATTTGCCATTGTCAGATGTTTTGAGAAAATTTTTCTCAAAAAGTGTGCAACCAAACAGCCCCTTAAAATATGATTTCCTTGTATTTCTTAAAAAAATTATAGGAAAAGTTTTGAGAAATCAAAAAGTACCAATTTTCTTATTTTTTGTACTTTTCTTGTTTGGTTCAAAACAAGAAAATGACTCATAACTTTATAGAAAATAACAAGATTTGGTAGGTTTTTAATTAAATATGGTATGTGTCAGATTTCTGGTGATTTCCTCTCATTTTGAGAGGAAATTGCTTTTTGTAAAATTTGGTAGGTTTTGATATTTTATAGAAAATATTTCTGTAAATTTTTTGTTGAACCAAACACAATTTACAGAAATCTCTGAAAAACTTTTAATTACAAATTTGACATTGTCAGATGTTTTGAGAAAAGTTTTCTCAAAAAGTGTGTAACTAAACAGCCCCTAATATCCAAACTCTTCATAAACAGCAGAAATGCTGCAAACTTGAGAATACTGGCAGTTACCGCAACCGCATGCAGCTGACACTTGTGTCGTAATTAAAAATTGGAGCGAACCAAGCAACTACCAAATCCACGAATATGGACTTTCATAGCTGACATTCTGACAACATATTAATGCAATTACTGATATAATCTCTTCACTGAAATCAAGAGCGAAAGAGAGCGTCTCAATGTCATCCTCTAAGCCTAATACAAACATAAGAGAATCATGCGCTCAAAGGGGTTTGAAAAGCATTCAGCTAAAGCGCCCCCCCCCCCGCCCCCCTCGCTCAGTAACGGCGCAATTAATCGATACGGATTGAAATATACGCTGCATCACAAACGAACGGTATGTCCGCATACATCCCCCCTAACGCACACCTCATACACTCCAGCACCGTAAACAAATACGCAAACGCAACCGCCGTCCAAAAATGCACCCCAAGCTTCCCCCAGTAAACCGCGAGCGGCATCCACCGACTAACAGTGCCAATCACCTGAAGTGCAATTTCAAGCAGCATCCCCATCACCACATGGAAACGAAAGAAGTGGGGCCACTCCTTTCGCCTAACAACACCGAGATATGCGGCGAAGAAATAGGCCATTAGGAACCAGCTCGGAAGTTGACCGATGAACCCTAAAAAGGGGTAGGTTAGGAATTCGAAGTCCTCGAGGAACGGGTGGAGGTGGTAGGCAGTCTCGGCGTACATCCATGTCTCGTGGAGGGGCATGAGGTAGGGAATGCAGGCGAGGGTTCTCCACCACCAGCGAGGTTTCTTGGTCATTGCAGGGTACCGGAAGCTGTATGGCACGTCTTTTGATGCTCTTGGGACTATTGTTGTTGACCGGTTTTTAGAACCAGTGGTGTGCGACCGATATAAAATTGGGATCATGCTTGTGAAGCTGCCATGGTCGCCTCTCAAAAGGGAGGTAGATGCGCTCGAGAGGTGGCATGTGAAAGGTCCTGATCCTGCCACAACAGAAAATTAAACAAGAATTTGAGATGAGTTTATGACCATAATCATAACGAAGTTGAACTTGGCCACAATTATTTGGAATTAGACCAGCATATCCTTCTATAACCCAAGGTTCCCACTAGGGTGAAGTGTGAATCATAGCAAGCTTTAACAAACATATAAATCTTAATACTAACCAAGATCGAAAGGGCTAACACAAAGATTAATGTCCCAACAATTTCATAACTACAATGCAGTTTTTTTTATAGTAATCATGGTACTACAATTTCTGTTGTGTTTTGCACTCTCAATTCGACTCTATCAGCCCTACAGCCTTTCTTATTATTTTCAACTAAAGACCATGATATCCAATAATCGTAAAATGAACTATACTATAAAGGACTTTTGTGTTCTTGGAAGAGAACTGACACAAAGTTATTACTTATAACAAGTAGTTGAATTATTCCATCCTTTCATGCCCTTCACTCCACAGTGCAATATATATGGACATAAAAATATAAACCCATGTTCTTCAAAGTTTCACGTTTTCTCAGATCAGTGGAGTTAACTATCTATATCTCATTTTTTATTAATGGTAATAAAAACTTGAAAAACTTGAAAAGCTTAAAAAACTTTGAACACATTGTCGAAAATACTTCTGACACTCAGACAATCATCACATAAAAAATGGAAAAGAAAAAGAGGGCCATGCGTAAGAAATGATAATATATATCAAGACACAAATTGTTTAACTTCAGCCTGTACTTACCAAAGATGCGGAACATCGTAGTGGAAGAATTCTCTAGAACTAGACTAGTGCAAGGATATGAAACCTATACCTTTTAATGATGTCCGAGCCAATTCTAGCTGAGTTTCACAAAAATTCTTCGCATTCAATAATGCTGTGGGCGCAGTCCTACGATAGAAGTATGTGAAAGAAGAGTTGCATGTTGCCCTGTAAGGCTTCGGTTGCATGGCCATTCTCCCAGAGGTTGCCATGCATCCATTGAGATTCATGTCATAAGCTCCTAAAACAGAAACAACAAAAAAGAGAAACTCTCAGCCTACAACTATAAGATAACAACAGGAATCCACAAATAAGACGGTAGGTAGAATTTTATCATTTTATACATCCTTTCCCCTTGTCATTTTCTTGGAGGGAGAACATATAAAACAGTACTAATTTAGTCAAAAATAACGATTGTGCGTGGCATCCTATTTTGCTAAACGAGCTACCAATAGAGACTCATGGTGAGGTCAAAGCAGACATTACTACTCCTATTTATTCAAATGAGATGGCAGTTTATATCCATTATCCCCAATTTATTCAAATTATATAAATGTTAATAGATTTCAAAAAATTAGATTTGGGTCATTTGAACGCATAACTTTCAGTGGACTTGCAAGGTAAAGGTTCAGTATCACATCAATTTGATGCCATACAGCTGCAGTTTAGGACCTCTTTGCAAAACTAAGTGAAATACGCACTCCCAACCAAAGGAATACTGGATGTAAAAATTCAGATAAGGGCATCCAAGTTGACACGAAACATTCAGAAGGCATGTGCTTTAGCACTTAGCATGGCTGTCTCGCCCACACAGAAACTGTGTGACCAGAACAATGCCTAAGCAGGACTGACTGTACAAACACTACACAAAGCATCATGCTTTTCACAACATTGCACCTATGGCCATGCCTGTGTTGTCATGCAGTTTTGCATCGCATTCTGAGGTCACATAGAAGATGACTTCTTTGAAGTCACAGTTAAGTTCCATCTGATATCTCATAAAAGACCCAGAAGATCATTTTCAGTGGCAGTTCTTTCATTTTCCAACACAATTCTGCCAACTCTACCCCAAATCTCTCCATTAAAAAAAAAGAGGGGAAAAAAGATAAAGAGAGAAAACCCCACAATGAAACTAAAAGAAAATAAAGACATATCACACAAACAGAAAAGCCCTAAACAAAGCCCTTTTTACTTCCATTATCTTGACATTTGGAAATTATGATATTTGAAGCTAAGTTTGCAACAAATATAATTAAAGAAAGCTTGTCTTTGTAGTGTAGGCTTGGTGTGAACAAAAATCTACGCCAACAGTTTCAAAACTTTAGTAGCCTAGTGTTACTAGAATCTTCTCTTGTCATCTAACTCTCTGAATCACACTTCAACTCAACTGATATATCGTTTCTCTTGATTTGCTTGCTAGATGCCAACAAGCCTCATCTTCAGATTCATTAAAGTTTGCTATTTCTTGCTAAATCACACCAGAAGCTTGTTGTCAATCAAAAGACTAGATAGAAGACTACAATATTCATATAATTCGGAATTTGGATTATAAAAATATCGGTCCGCAACTCTCTCAAAACCTAATATTGATCGCACTTCAAGAACCAGTTTGATTCTTTTTATTCTTATCTCCAGCATATTAGTCAAGGCCTCCCATCTCCCTAACCCATACCCTCAATTCATGCTTCTTTAGATATCAAGGGTCATCTTCAAGGTCAAAGATACCATGGCAACTAGCCAACAAGGAAATGGATCATCCCAAAGGGTATGTTCTTGTTTTCATTCTAAGAATTCTAGTTTTCTTGATTGATTCTCCTTCTTGCCTTATTTCATCCACTCCAATTCAGAATCTGTGATGCATCGAACCAGTTCGAACCGAATAAACCGACTGAACCACGCAATTTTCAGCGTATTAAAACATTTCAATTCCGCTCGATTAAAAAAATTTCAAGCCAAAACCAACAAAAGCCATTTCAGGTTCTGCTCTAATTCTCGCTTTGGTGAGCGTATTGGATATCCCAGCTCAAGTAACTCTTTGAATGTCAATCTTAACTACGGACTCAGTTCTAGCTTCATGTAGGCTCAGTCTGGCATGGCCAAAACCTATCAATCGACGATCTGCTAAGGTAACTCTTTGAATTTCACCTTCTACATCCTTTTTCTTATGACACGCATTTGCGTTTCCGACACTGACCCATTATAGGATAAATTTAGTAGAACCCACAATAACTGATAAATCGAAAATTAAAAGCTAAAATTGCTATTCAAGCCCTCAAATGTCTAGCTAACTGCGTTTTATTTGAGAAATAACCCCAAATAAATAACCATCAAATAAAATCAGCTGATGAATGGGGCAATACAACAAACATAGAGAAATTGGAAAATAAGCAAAACGCATTATACAAATTTGGGCTCGGTTGAAATCAGGAAAAGAAAAGAAAAGACGGAGAAAATACCTCCGATAGAGAAAAACCCTCGATGAACTGAAAGTGAGACTTTTTAAGGACCGGCCGTCTTCGAGGAAGAGGGCTTATCTCATATACGGAGAATATCACGTGAGGTGCGGGTGAGCGAGTCGGAACCGGGGCAATAAGGGCGTTAATTCTGCTAGATCCGTAACCCTAATAGGGAGTTGGGCTAAGATTGCTTCGGATTTGAGCTAGAAGTGGGCCTGGTTTGAGAACAAATTCCTTAACAAATTAATGGGGTTTTTCGACATTAGTCCCTACTTGCATATTTAGAATTAGTCCCTCAATAATATCGAATTGATGTTAGGTGCCTCGATTAGTAAGTTGTTATGAAAGTAATCCCTCAAAATATTACAATTCCTATTAGGGACCCAGGTTCTTGTGCTCTTGGGAAACTAGCCCTTCCAATCAAAAGTAGAAGCAGCAATTAGAAAAACTTATTTGAAATAACTTATGAGAATATGGGACCTAATTGTTCTTAACAATGGTTTGTACTGTATAGTCCAGTGGCGGATCTACAAAGTTAGCAGCGGTGGTTCAAAATACATATTAATTTTTTTTTGGAAATAGTATATAGACAGGGTCAAGGCCGAAGTTTGTAGCTGAGAGAACTAGCAAAGCTATAGATATGTTTGTTGCAAGAATTTTCAAAGTTATGTGTATTTAACGTTTTCTATTACTTTCTTAGTAAAATAAATTTTTAAAAGACAAGAAAATAATAGGAAAAAAGTTAATAGAGAGAAAAAATTATGAAAGAAAATCATAAAATTAACTAATACAATGAATATTCATGTAAATTTAAAAAAGATTATGAGAAAAATAAAATTTTATCCAAGAATGAAAACCAAATCCAAAAATAAACAACCTTAGCTAAGCAATGAATTAAACAAAATAATCAAAATTCGGGATTCGAAAACCAAATGTCCAATTGAGTTAAAGAAAATAAGCAATGAAAACAAAAAATAAACAATAAAACCCAAATCTGGGATTCGAACCCAGAACCTTACATTTAAACAAACAACCTTAACTGCTACTGCTTATCCACTAGGTTGTAAGTTCTACTTGTTAGTATCTGAGATATATATAATATATAGGGTTTTCTGAAATTTGAGGTGGTTCATATGAACCACTTTGAACTAACATGGGTCCGCCCCTGGTATAGTCTCTTTTAATTGTGTCTTCTACCCTTGAATGAAGGGACGGATCCTCAAATAGCTTAATACTTGAGAGACCTAATAGCAATTTCCACGATTCTAGGGAGAAATTTTGACACAACTTAGGAATTGAAAAAACCTAATAGCATTTCGAGCGTTTGAGGAACTAGTTTCATATATGAAATATCTAAGAGACTGATATAAAAAAATCACTAATTTCATATAGTTTGGAATTAGCTATACAACTTTCCTGAAGTTTATAGAGCAAGAGTGAGCTTTAATAATCTATGATTAATAATTTGACATACATGCATGCGTAAAATATAGGATTATTTGCACTTGAATACTTAAAAGGGTACACCCTTTTAAACTTGAAGATCTATGTTCTTTTTATTTCAAAAAAACATCCCAAAGTTTGCCTCATTTTCAACTTCAGTACTCCGAAGTTTTTCCCTGTTTTGATACAAAAAAGTTCAACTAAATTTAACTTTCACATACCAAACCTTAAAAACTTACTTTGACACCCAAAACTCTGACACAAATAAGCTATAGCCAAATAATCAAATCATTCGGTATCCGTTAATATTCTAGTCTCCTAATAAAATAATTGGCGGGGTATTTTCTGCAGTTTCTCCCAAAAAAAGAAAAAAAAAATGGAGGGCTTGCCCTTGCCCGATCCAAAGCCAGAGGACAAGAAAATTGTAGGATAACTCGTGGCTCTAATTCCCCATAGCAAAATCTCTATTTTGTATTTTTCTCTTTTAAAAAAAAACTGTTCCCAATTCGTTTAGTTTTTTATTACCCCTTTGTCCTTTTTGCTCCAACGATTCGCCAATTGGAATCATTCTCCATTTTCAAAATTTTTACAAAATGTCCCATTCTCGATTGCCCTTACCTCCGGCTGCATTTGGGGTCGCGGTTAGGGTTTTCTATAACTGAACAATTGCGCGGTTTCCACCCCAAAAACGGTGAGCACATTGATGCGCGCGGGAAGAAATTAGTGGAAAAATCTAGCTTTTTCATTCCAAATTAGCCTAATTTGGCTTACTGATTTCAGGAATGGATGCAATTTACTGGAATACCATCCTTGAACAGAAAAGATCCATCTTTTTCCGTTCAATAGGATTATTCCATTGATGAATTGGTAGAGCTAGCATTTTTTTTTTTGAGGAGAAAGTAGGGTTATGATTCAGCAAAAAGGAAACATTTGTTAGAAATTTTGTTCTTGCAAGAATGAGTTCGCATTTAGCAACCCGAAGCTCGCTCGAGGAAATGCTGGAGGTGCTCCGGCAAAGGGATACAAAGCCAAAGGAGAAGCTGCTACCTGGATTACCCTCTCGGCCAGCCGGTAGAGGTCGTCTTCCTTCTCAAAAGAGGACACTGCCGGTTAGTTTCGAGGTCAAAGATACAGAAGAGGATAGAGCTTTGAAGATATATCAAGAAATGGTACTAAGAAGTAGCATATTTGGAAGCAGGAGAGTTGGGATCTTGGAGCAAGAGGAAGAATCTCCTTATGGTAAAAGGCCAGAGATAATAAACTATGGAGGGAGGTGGGAATGCGTTCATGGGTTGGATTCTACAATGTTGGATGAGAAGTTTAGTTGGGGGAAGATGGCGGATAATTTGGTAACGAAGGTAAATTTTGGTTTTTATGCTGTTGTGATTAAATTGACTTAGTATCAGGCGCGGAGCTAGTATGCAAAAAGTGGTGTCAAGTGACACGGACACCACCCGATCATATAATTAAAGAAGGATGTGTAAACTTATCAGGCGAAGTGACACCCTAACTCCTTCGAATAGTGAGTAGTGACCCATTAATTTTGAAAAAGAGCTACCATCAATTTTGAAAAAGAAAGATACATATCTTTACATTAAAAAGGATATTTAGGGGTATTTGGAATGACTATTATGTAACGATTCAAATATGAAGACAAGTAAGGATCAATTATAATTGTATTTAGTTAAATATATTTTGTATCTCATTAAAGTTCATGATTACATTGAATGATAGAGAAATTTTAGTAATATCGTCTATTTATATTACCGTGACACCACTATTATGGATTTCAGTCTCCGCCACTGCTTAGTATCAAATTGGATATGGCTTGAGTCTTAGCATGAGTTTTGACGTTTATGGTTCTTTGCCATAAAAAAGAAGAAGATATATATGATTCAGAAACCTACATTAGTATGCTAATCCTTTGTCTAATCTCGTCCTATTGTACATCTTCCGTTTACCATGGTTCATAGATTCCCTGGGCCTCTTGCCGCGATTACTCGATGAAGAATAAAAAAAGTCGATCAGATACTTGACTAAGGCCTTTTCAAGAGGTTTAATATGGAGACTGGAAAGAGTACGTTGAAAACAGTCAATTGGCAGTCCTCTTCTAAGCATGTTATATAGGCTATCCATGAAGTTAAAAGACAATCTCATAGACCTTTATGGATCAGAGTGTTACACAATTAAGAAACAGCAAGTTTTTATCGGGGGGGGGGGGGGGGATAATCAAGTGTGATGAAA